AGATTTCTAACGTTTAAGTGATCTATCAACCTCAATCCGTGATCTTTCACTTACTCATGTCCTGATAATCAATCATGGTGTTAACAAGCTGTTCTTGAAGTTGAGCCAGCTGGGTTTCGTAAATCTCTCTTTCGGAGCTTGAAAATTCCCCTCTATTCGGAGTAACCTTTTGATCGCAATTCCCCTTCCCTCCATGAATCTCGTGTAACGTAGGTTTCGCCGAGCCATCTTCTTCATTCAGGCTTTCCTTATCGGAGCTGCTACTGTGGGTGGATTCGAGAAACTCGTGGCTGAAATCTGTGGTTAGTACTTCACCATGCGTACTGCAACCAACTGTTTCTGCGACAAGTGCATTTAAATTTTCATGATCACCATTCGTATTTTTAGCATCTTCGTGACCTCCATCGCGGTGAAAGAAGGAGTGCGATCTTCCATGAGAAGTTTTTCCTCGATTTTCATTCTTAGTTGAATCAGTGGCTTGCTTTCCACGGAACGCAGAACGAAGCATATTTCCAGATATCTCACCTCTTTCACAATACGTCACCTGTTTGTTTTGTTCCAAATTAAGATCCTCTCTTGCTTGTGCTCGATTCCCTGTCAGGGCGGGGGGAGCTCTGATAAAGAGATTTCATCGATTCCATCTCTGTAGTAAAAGTTTTACCGTGTTCACGTTGATTTTTTTATCCAGCTTTCTTCAAGTTAATTAAAATGATTTTTCATTTAAATAAGTTTTGAGAAATCTTGTGGCTCAATTGTGGAAAAAAAAAAAGATAAAGAAAAAAGAAAATCCCCCCCCCCTGAACATTACCCTCCGTGCCCTTGATTAAAAAAAGAGTAATCCCACAATACAGTGGGATCATGTTAGACCGCCATGTTTGTAATCTACGAGTACAAGCTGTGTAAACATCTGGCCGGGCCGCGGGCTTTTCCAACAGTTTCCAGGCACAAAAGGAATTGTAACACCTGAGTTATTTAAGTGGAAATGCCTCATGTTCTCTCAGCGAAGAAATGAACGAAATAAGCGAGTCTGAACGCGGATTGAAGGCCGTTTTTAAGGTACAAGGGAAGCTGTATGATGTCTATCTTGATGAAAATGAAATCGTGTGGACCTTACAAGGCGAGTTGAGTTCAGGTATTTACTAAGCATGCCAAAAGCATTGGCTTATATCGGAAGCGTCGTTCGTCTATTTTTGAGACTTTTTTGCAAGTAAAATCGTTCTCCGATTGAACTTAAAAGCTTTGGTGAACCGTTTGACATCAATTGATTCCATGAGGACATGTCAACACCAAGTTAATGTTCGACCCAGTTTCATAAATTAAATGTATATATCACTTTCCTTATATGTTTTTATACGTTCTAGTAATCGTTAAACTAATCGGCTCTGTATTTATCTCGATCGTGTATACCTCAAGCTAAATTTTAAGTATGCAATTGAGTGAAGCGTAACAATGACAGAACAAAGTGGCAGAAACTGAAACAGCAGTTTCACGTCGAAAGTAAATGTTTAGATAGAAAACATCTCATGAAAGAGAAAGTTTTCTAGCCTTATGCAATTAAACACCTTTTAATTGTGTGAGATACCTATAAAGTTAGGAAGTCGTTTCACATGTACAGTTTATGTAATGAAAATTGCACGAGTGTTTTTTGCATTAATTCCTTACATGAATATGATCATTTTAAGTATTGCTCTTATACGAGCCTTTTTACGGTTCTGCTCATCTGAAAGGCTTGAAAGTTGCTTCCATCTGTTTTAAGATATGAGTGGTTGGTCTTCTATATCATGTTGCCTTTATGCACCTTAGATAACGAAAGTATAGTAATGGTGAATTTTTCTCCTCATTTTTTTCCTTCACCAAAGACACTGAATAGTAATATTATTATAACATGGCTGAACTGAATTTTTTTATTTTTCCCAACATAAAAGGAATTTGCAGTCAGCCCAGGAAAAAATTTCCACAAGAAATTGAAATGTAACTGCAGCAAACAAGTAAAGTATTCTCACTGATGGCTGTTTGGAAATGTTGCTTAAGTGAGGATGCTTCTTGGAGGAGAGGGGACTCAAAATATATTTCAACAAGGGTGCTTTCCCTCAAGATCCAAAATCTGATACATTGACAAGCCCTCAAGGCAAACTTTTACATATGTGTATGTGTGCAAATTAATCTTAATATTTAACATATTATAAATTTTGCATAAGAAATTGAATATTTTTTATATTGACATGAACTCTTGTTGATGTAAACAGCCTCCAGCACACGCAATTACAACCTTTCCACAAGATCTGTGAAACTGTTAGATATCATTGGTGCATGGATAGCAAAACGACGCATACCCAGGAATGAAAGCAAGGATGGTGAACTTGTTGGATTTACTATTTTTACCTTCCAAAAAGCTGGAAACAGGAAGCTGTGTGAAGCAAGGATAACATTTGAGAGTGAGGACCAAAATGTCTGTGACATGTGGGTTGTTAAGATTAACGACACTTTAAAGAGTAAGTTTTAACATGGTTAATTAGGTAGGGTTTCTTTTAGTTTAGCTCTGTAAAGGGAATGCTGAAAAAAACTTAGGGGCAGGGCTGAGAAAAGGAGCTACAAAAAAGAAGAATTTTCATGAACCTTATACCTATAGACAGCTTTAAGTAGAATGTTTAAAAATTGTAGTTGATCAAAAATAAGGAATAATTTATGAAACAAATTAGTCACTAGGACATTAGATGACAGCATCTAATTCTCAGAATTAGTTACAGATAACTCATGATGGCTAAGCCAATTAAAACTCGTGAGTTGCATTATTCATTGATCCAATTTAATAAAGATAAGTATGCTACAGACATAACAAAGTCTCTGACTTAGCATAGTCTGTGACCAAAAATGTTTCCAGTCTTCTCCACCTTACTTGTAATTCACAATTTGCCAAGGGCTTATAACGATATTAAACAACTCTTTGTAGTATTGCTATATCTTGGATTTTTAATTTAAATTTTTTATTTTTATACGTACTATCACAAATGTATAGTACAAATTTGTAGAGGCTAACTACAATACACGTCTTCAAGAATTCGTACAATTCTGTGATCTTCCACGCAAAATTTCAGACAACATTTATAAATCATGGTTTCTTTTTTTTCTTTTTTTTTTTCTTTTTTTTTTCCTGTTTAGGTATTCCTAGCAGACCTCGTAAGCTGAAAGTAGTAATAAATCCTAGAAGTAAAAAAGGTGAAGCAAGGCTTGTGTACTTAAAAAAGGTTGCACCTTTATTTGAGAAGGCTGGCATCAGGGCAGATCTCATGAGTAAGTTATTTGTAGTAGTTGCTCATAATTATAGTGCAAATTCGAAAAAGTGTGTTACTAGTTGCATGTGTTTTGTCCACGTGTATTGTATGTGACAGTTATAATAAACCCCGCCAAATTGTGTGTAAATTGATAATTAAAAACACCTTAATTTATTAGTCACATATAACAAAGTATGTATTACTAACAATTTAACACTTTACTTTCTAAAACATATATCAATTTTTTCTTTTTTTATTCAAGTGCTGAATTTAAAAAGAAAAGCAAAGTTAGTTAGGCATGTAGTTTAATGGTTAAGACAATATCTGTTGTGTTTAACAAGTTCACCAAGGTAGGTCCAAGCCTGGATATGTAGGGTTTGGTAATATAAATATTAATACCAAAGCTATCAAATTATTAAATTAAATGTGTGTTGAATGTAAAGATCCTGGTGCCCAAATGTGGCAAAACCACAGATACCATTCTGACATAAACAAAGAGTTTACTTACTTACTCACTTACTCTCTCACTTTCTGACTGACTGACTGGCTGACTGATTGACTCACTGACTGATTGACTTACTGACTGACTGACTGATTAACTGACTGACAGTCATTTACAGTACAATTTGTAATTGTTTACCATGAGATAAGCAAATAGATTCAGATGCATTTTGTGAAATGTTTCTGCAGAGCTCACCATGATTTGTTCATGTGCAAGCATTTCATGGTTTGACTTTAATTTTAATTTTATCATTATCAAATTAATTATCTTGAAGTTTGATCAACAGGGATAAAATTTGAATCAGATATAAACAGCTTTAAAATAATCTCTAATAAGTTGGATTTAAAACTTATTTAGTGACACAGTGGGCAGGACATGCTTGGGAGTTCTTCCAAACTGCAGAGCTTTCCACATATGATGGGTAAGGAAATATATTTCCAATGTAAATTATAATTTACAGGGCCCAAAATAAGTTACTCTAAATTCTAAGCTAAATGATAATGTATTAAAGTAAAATCCCTTGATTTTAAAGGAAATAATAACATTTTTTACTAGAGTTTAACCAGTTGAATTAAAGTCATTCTTCTTAAAAAAAATAATTAGAATAATGCTTGGTTAAGGTTTCAGCAAAACCATAGCAGTGATGAATAATTGTAAACTCCACTCGACTTGATTTATTGTTCAGTGTAATGTTTAAGATATAAACTTAATTTAAGCCAATGATGAAAATATGTTAGAAAATAGCAAAACTGTATCCAGCCACCTTAACAGTTATCGCTGGAAGATGTATTTTGGGAATGTTGCCTAAACTGACATCTCAACCATTATTATTGTCAATACTCAGTGATAAGAAACAATTACAGTGCTAAGTGTTGAATGTAAAAATTTCCAGGGTTGTTTGTGTTGGAGGAGATGGTATTGTGCATGAAGTTGTTAATGGACTATTAGAGAAGTCACATGGAAATGTTGGAATTGATCTGGTTGATGGAACCTTACCTGAGAAGTTCAGTGCTCTGCCACTCAGCATGCGAATTGGAATCATTCCTGCAGGTACTACTAATTCAATGCAACATCTGTGATTAAAGAGGCTTCTATTGTTTGAAGATTGGCCACAGGACATATTCCTTTTTTTTTTTTTTTGCAGTATACTGTAATTGAGATTATAGTATGTAGTGTCCATACAAAGAAAAGAAGTATTTTTCTTCCAAAAATCTGCACTTCAAGATTCTGGAAAAGAACTCTATGGTTGTTTAAAATCTAAACTTAAAACTGAGACTTCAAGGCTCGATCCTCAAATGTTGAAAGTTTATTGAAGTGAGGATCGAGTTTAAAGCAAGACTATCATCCTACTTTAATGCTTTTATTGTTCCTCCAACTGAACTAAATTGATCACGACAGATAATGAGGTTTAAATTCAAGACACTCATACCAACTTGAAGCAATAAACGATTTAATACTCTTAATTTTGCTTTCCTTTTGTTTTAAAGCAAGGATGTAAAATGAACTCTATTATTCCAGAAAACACACTTTATTTATACTAATTATGCATGATAATCTAAACAGTCAAATAAACAATTTTGTGATTTCAAGTATCATGAAGGAATATACATTCAATTACTTTTTTTTAGGTTCAACAGAGGTGGTGGTTTATTCAGCACAGGGATCTAATGATCCTGTCACATCTGCTATACATATAATTTTAGGTAATTACTCCACAAATAGCTTTTATTATAGGTTTTGCTCTTTTATACATAGAACAAAATTGAGGTTAAAACACTCCTGAAATTGATTTGAGCCCATATTTGTGTTAAAAAATACTCACTCTTTGACCTGAAATCTCTTTTCAAGATAAGTGGCAAAATTAATCTCATGATTTTCTTGGATGACATCGATTGGTATAAAAACATGATGGAAAGCAAGAGAAAGATAGTAAATAAAACAGAGGCCAAAAAACTGTCACAAATATGTTTTACAACACCCTGCATACTAAAATGTCTATATGTAGTGTAGATGCACACACCCTCCATTAACTTTCTAGATGCGTCTGTGTTTCCCTTGAATTCTATTTTGAGAGCAAAATAGATCAAATTCAAGCACCATTGCTGTGTTGATTGTTGGGCACCAATCCATATAAAAACTCCTTAGTGTTCATCAGTTTGTCCTTTTAGTCTCTTTATGAGAGGAGCTTTGCTCTAGTATCTTACAGATCCCTTGGAAACTGGTTTTAATATATACAATTGCACAGATGTAATAATGGTATTCATCTCTATATTATATGTATTTGCTTCAGGTCACACAATATCACTGGATATATGTTCTCTGTGGAGTGACAACAAACACATCAGGTTCACATTTTCACTGGCTTATGGCTTCCTCGGAGATGTGTTGAAAACTAGTGAGCAACATCGATGGATGGGTCCTAAACGATACAAATGGGGAGCTGTGAGGAGGCTCTGGAAACTCAGGTAAACTAATTAAACTTCAATTTTAGAACAATATTTTATTATGCTGAATGCTTTTCTCTAAATGTATCTTTTATTTTCTTATCTTTAATATAGTTTTGTTTTATTTTGTTTGTGCTTTTATCAAATATCATCAGCTGGGCTTAATGGGTTTGTTGTTCAGTTGTTGTTGTATTTCAAGCCAGGCAGGCTAGTTTTCTTCAATCTTGGTTTTGATTTTAGGGGATTATCCTAATATGTAAAACTTCAAAAGCTAGCTGTTATCTTGAATACATTAATTTGTAGATCATATGATGTTGAGGTGAAGTATCTTCTAAGTCCTAATCCTGAACACCATCCAAGAGATAACACTCGCTGTAGAATAGGGTAAGTCATGGAGTAAAATAACCTACTCTTATACTAGTGTAGATCTCTTTCACGATGACATCACATTTGCTATACTGTGTTTCCTAGGATATATCTTGTATAGAAGGGATGAAAGGAAAACCTGCTTCTACTACTTGTAAAAGTAATTTTAAATTTTGGTGATCAAATTATTTATCAAGGTGTTTTTACTTGTACATGTGCAGGTGTGAGGTTTGTAGTAAGGAAGATGATCAAGATTGGGAAAGTGAGCAAAATCAAGGTACTTACTGAGATAAAGACTTCATGTAATTCATGGCTCCTGTTCTAGTTTCATACATGTATGTACAACACATGTCAATTGAGCCAAATATTGTCCCAGTGTGTAATGTGAGAGTCAAAATGAATAATTTTAGCTCACTTAAATGATAGGTTTGTAGTTGTTATACTGGTTTACCATCTGTCTTTCATCATTTTTCTCTGCAAATATAATGTTGTGGAAATGAAACAGAAAAATAGAGAAATGAAAGGAGAGAAAATGTAATAAACATAATACTATATCAGATGAATTTAAAATGATGAGGAAATGAATTGTAATGAATCATCATAGCTAAAGAACTGACTAGTTTTGGCAACCTTCTGTTATTTAACTCACTTAATATTTTGCAATAATGAAATGACCCAGCCATTAGAACTTGAACTTCAGTGACTCTAAGCTGGGGAAGCATTGAAAAGACAGTAGCAATGGCTCTGTAGCAAATAATATCAGCAAAAACATGACCAGATCCAAGATAGGCTAGCAGGTAGGTTCCATTTTCAAGAAAGGAAAGTTGTATTTTTCTGGCTTATTTTCCCAATTTATTTTATTTTATGAACAGAATGGAAGTCATTTCACTCTCGCGTTTATGGGGTGAACTTTTACACTCTTCCCAATCTGTGTGAGATATCCCCAGAGGGGCCGTCACCCTGCTGTCACTTGGGAGATGGTTTTACAGACCTTGTTATTATTAAAGACTGCTCAAGACTTCAATTAAAATCACATATTCAGCGAAACTTCAATTACAAAGACCAGGTTTGTTTGTTATGATGATTATATGTGATGGGCTTAATAGCATCTGCTGCTTAATAAATGAGGCAACTTTCCTTGCGAGAATGAAGATTGGTTAAGGAAAAACGGTAGAAATCAATCCTTTAAATGGGGATCATAAAACAGAGAAAGAGGAAAAAGAAAATAAAAGTAGGGACACCAGAAGAGGCATTCCTCGCACTTCAAACACAGTAGTCCTGCTTTTTATCCATTTGCTCTGATTAAAATTACAACAAAAATTTAGAATTTCTATTGAAATACTGTTTAATTCATCACATTGGTCTTCACCCCTTTTGTTATTTACCCACTCTCTTTGCAGTTTGCATTTGGCTTCATTGAAACACACCGTGTCAAAGAATGTCATATTCATGCTTGTGACAAGAGTGGTGTCCCTGTGAGTGGTACAGATAGTCTCTTGCATGGTGGTAGCTATAGAGGAAGGAGGAATCCAAAGGAGCAACCAGTTGGTGTATGGAATGTAGATGGTGAAGTGCTCAGGCAGGCATCTCTATCACTCAGGTATCCAACAGTGTAACTCATAACAGGTTTTTTTTTGTTTTGCATAGCATTACTTGAAGTGAACTAGACTCTCCAAAGCTACATGTACTCTTGAGTCCAGCTTGAATGAATTTAGGCATTCAATGGTTGAAATGCACAAGGCCTATTCAACTTTTGTGGCTGTAGGAAAAAAAGAACGGTGCACCAAAAAATGGAGAAATTTTTTTAAAATTAAATTACTTACCTATTTTTCATTGGTTTCTAGAGTTCACAGACAAATTGTAACTATATTTGGAAGTGGTATAGAGGATGTCTCGCAACAAAAGTGTCGCTTCCTGAAATAACAAAGCATTGGTAAAATTTAAAGGAGCTTATTTCTAGTATGTAATTCTTGTATCGTTCATAATGCATTTGCATGTGATGGATACAGGATGAACATCAAGGTCTACTGGATAGGGAACAAAATCCCTCTGAACAAATGGCTATCCAGCAGACATTGCTATTTGTTTAAACCTCACATGCAACATTTGTAAAGTTTATCCTACTAAGTTGAAAGTTATGTAAGATTCAAGCATTGAAAACATCTTCTGGCCTCTACTAAGTTAAAGGTTATCTGACATTAGCCAGAATTTAGATTGGAACACCAGACATTACTTTTCTCATACCCACGCGAGGAACGTTTCTCAAAATATTTATATCAGTGTTGGTGTTTTTTAGAAGATTCTTTCTCCATTATCTGTTGGAGTTTTGATTCTTTTTTAATATAAAGTATAATTGAACTATCTCCCTAAATTTATATTATTTATGTATTTATTTATTTGTCAAATGATTTAATTAAATTGCGTTGGCCCCATAGTGGTGACAATGGGTGACCATTTATCAAAATTATCATTTTCTGAAAATAATGTAACGCAAAATGCCATTAAGTTTATTGAGGACTCGTAATATGAAGGAAGTATCGTCCGAAGTAGATTTTGATGAATTTACTACGCGTTTACGAAGTGAACTCCAATGTACTGTATTACTGATCAGCGGTCAGCTATAGTTGCTGAAATATTACCGCGTGGTTTAGGTGTCCACTTTGTAAAGTTTCCACTGTATGAATTTAGCAATAAAACGTCGTGAAAATAACATTGATAAATTGAAACTCCTTTAACCCCTTAGACAGCAAGTATAGTGTCGCCCATTAATTATGACCCTGAGTGCAACTAGAGTCGATTAGTTGGGAACAAATACGTTCCGCGATACAAGCCCCAGTGTTTATATCGCTGGATTGCTTGTTGCGGATAGCTGTAGTATTACAAATGGTTTGTAAACGGTACATGGTCTTACTGACATGATTGTGGATACAAAACTAGATTCCAGTTTGGAAGGAAAAAAGCAAACTCCGTTTATACGAACCTACTGCCTGGTAAACATCGTGTCATGTGCATTCTAACATTTTCAAGACTATTCAGTTCACTAATTCAGTGTGGCTTAAGAGATTTCAAAGACTTTTTTTCTCTCTAAGTGATCATCATTTTTTTTTCAAACAGTTTTTACACTGAAAGGAGCATCCTAAGGATTGGATTAATAAATATAAATATAAATCAAGTAAGAACTTGAAGAAAAGTTAGCCTCGTCTGCAAAAACGTGTATGATTGACACACAAACGTAAAGGAAGGTGTGTCGTCAGCAAGGGAACTAAAGGAGAGCAGTTATTCTAGGACTGTGGGTAACTCACCCTTTGGCATATACCTTGTCAGATATGGTTTCCTCAATCTTCCTTCTTCAAGGTAGAAACGTCTGAAACTAGGGTATATTAGTCCTATATTTGAGGACCTTGCGTCGTGTGTTGACAGCTTTTAAGTTGAAATTACTGAATCAGTTACATCAAAAAAACATTTGCAGAAATCGATAGGCACTCGACGGATTTCCTCATCGTTGTTCACGTTAAGGATACTAGCATGGTTCATATGTGTAATCAGGGCTGTTTCAGTGGAATATTCTTATCTACTGAGACCGATTCAAGTTCGTACATGGCTAATTATATTGGGTGGAAAATTAAAAAAGACAACTACTAGATTCTTGTTTTGAGTGAATTTTTGCGACGACGGGTGTTCAGTAGTGATGCGAGATTTGTATTGGGGAAAGCTGATTGTCACGATTGAAAGGTTTATTAAATACATAAACCAACTCTGATGCATTCAGTCCCATAAAAGTACATTCACAGTTATGAATTTATTCCCGAAACTAAAGGAGATCTGGCCATAAACCATGTCAGTTCACTAAATTAAGAGGAGACAAATATTGAGTCAACATCGAGTTGTAACCAATTTATTCAAGATTGTTCATTATGCTCATTTGCTATATATATATATATATATATATTCTTCCAGCTGGTTATTGGTACCATAGTCAGTGTTTCTTACTTCAATT